CAATCGGCGAATTCTATAGCAGAACTGGCAACCTCGACGATTAAAGTCCAAGCGAACCCAACCCGTAAAAGAGACACACAGACTTATAATTGTATAATTAATTCATTATGCTAATAACATTGATACAACTATAACGGTTACAATATAACTTATTCTCTGAAATCTATAAATAAAATTCAACACATGCAACTTTGTTATTCTTATAAACTTACTTAATTATTTCAACATATAGCTATAACAAAATGAACTATACAATCGTGTACGGAGCGTGCCACTTGTCACCATCCTAGTTCTATGCAATATAAGAATAGTTGACGTAGTTCAACAAATAGTATAAACCAGCAATCTTTTTGCCTCATTTTGTTGAAAAATTCTACTACAGACACAAAAAATAACCCAAAACCAAACTACTCATCTTCCCAACTTCCAGTTTTGCCAATTTTTACCAAATAATAATTCACGCACTGACAGTTCAGATTTCGAAGACGACGGCGAATCAACCCAAGAAATCAAACATACCAGATAACCGGTAAATTCACACCTATAAAAGACAACATTATTGTTGTTATCATTACCAGCAGTAAACGATTACACCTTGACGTTGACGATATTTCAATTGGACAACCCTGTCCACTTACTGGGAAAAGTGATTCACTTACCCTCCAGATAAAACCATATCTTAGTAGCTCTCAATGCGATGTATTCGATGTAATCCTAACGCATACCATTGTCAGTACAAAAGCTGAAACTAAGACCAATATAATTGTTCCATGCATGGAAAATCGAAGACCAAAATACTAACCTCGAAATACGTAATTATAGATAACGCCTACCTTCAATAAAAATACATTTTATTTTAACGCAATAAACCAACCTATAATCGCATATAGCGATAGCGCCTACTTTTAATAATGTATGTTTTATTTTAATGAATAAACCAAACTATCAAATACGTGTTGTGTATGTATATCACATAAGACCAATAAAATAATTACAAGAGAGAAAAAAATTTTTTTTCAGCCAACTTCTTTCCTTCATTAAGCCAACACGTACCACTATATAGTTACAATATGGCTCAACATACATTCAGAACGTACAGGTTCAAACCATATTCAACTACTACACAATTGAAGCACTCAAACGTCAATTCCAAACACATAATCGAATGTAACAGACGATTGCGTTAACATTACATTATCTGATTTAGACACCAAACAAAATGCCATTGTTACCTCTCCTTGGCGACCATCAACAAGCTTACGAAGTCTTCAATACTTTTCCAGCACATTTATTTACCATATGCATACTGCGCCAGATTACTTTACCTTGACCAAAGCAAAATGTATTGATTATAATCCCAACTGTACTTACCTCTTGAAATTTATTTCCCTAACGTTGACAAAGCATTTCTACAACATTATGCATTAAAACAATGACATAACACTCTGCAAAAGAATTATTGCATAAGAAAATTTTTTTATGACCTGACCGCCAACGGCAGGCAGGCTACACCATAACCCTCTAGTTCGTTAAAAGAACACTCGCACAACACAAATTTTCGTATATAAAGCAGTATACTTACCATGTCTATTTCCACAACCGAACCCAATGCGTACTTTGTCGAAAACTGGGATACCGAGGGCCTTGTCCTTTACCTCCAAGCGCAGGGCCTAAAACTTGACAATGAGGACTTCGCTATTATCCGCAAAGAAAAAATCAATGGCCTCTCCTTCCTCGATATGACCGAAGAAAAGTTTCGTAATATTGGTTTGGCATTAGGACCGGCAACACTTCTTGCAAAAGAGGTCAAGGTACTCAAGGACAACACGAAAAGGGCATACTCGTCATATCGTACTTTGAACGATTTTAAAGCAGTCCTAGCGAAGTATGGAATTATAAGTGGGGACATAACTCGCATTCCGCAATTTACACCAGGTGAGAAATGAGATGATAGAGAAAACTTTCATATAACTTCGTTTACTAATATTTCATGACAATTAGTCACATTCAAAATCGGCGAAGATAATCCGGCGTTCAAGTTTTGCGTTGAAGATATACTTCGCAGGATAAAGAACATGGGACCAGTAGTAGATACTAACGAGGCAATGCAGTGTGAATACTTTTCGACAATCTTGCATGCATCTGTTAGTCTTCTCGAAGGTTTGGTTATCTCTCCTCAGGCCAATATAGTTGGCGAAGAAAATACTGACCGTGTCGACTATGCGATCAAAAAAATAATCAATGAAATGTTGGAGGAAATTATTTGCATAACCCAGGGTAAACAAAATCAGGCCACAATGGGTATTTGCCAGAATTTGGTGCAATGTCGAAGCGCGTGTGATGTAAGTATACCTATTTTTCTTTACGGATTGATGATGAGTATTATTATTAATTTTCGTTCTTTCAGATGAATCTAGATATGATCAAGAAAAAGCGGAAGGTCGACGAAGTATTCGAAGCCGGCTATGACTATGTCTATGGTATAGTCAGTACCGGAACAGACTGGTACTTTATCCTTCACACTACCGACGCCATCTATTGTACGAGTAAAACCGAATACCGCATCTCGCTTACAGAAGCCGTCCTCGAAGATGATACCGAGTTGCGAAAAAGTGTTAAGAGGATTTTAGAGGTAATAGTGGGATTATTAAAAGATAGGCTGTCTGCTAGTGATGAACCAGCGACTAAGAAGAGGTGTGTGCAAGAGAAAATCAGCAGAGCTGGCATGGCCAAAAAATGATGTAATATTTAGGGGTATCCATTGAAATTTACCTTTTTCATTAGCTAGTTAATAAAGAAATGAAATTTTTCATGCATTACGCATATCTCTGACCCGGAAAAGTCAATGTGTTCCATCATCGCTATTATTTTTTTCTTAGCAAAAGCGAACGGTGTGACTTTTGGTCACGCACTCATTAATTAATTTATTCAAACTTTTGAACATATCTGCACCTTGTATAAAAATGGCAAACACGCAATCCAAAGTCGATACATTAGAAGAACATAATTCCAAACTTATAGCTGAGATTGCTGAGCTTAGAAAGGAGAATGCGAAGCTGAAGAGGATTATTGAGGAGAATGAAAAGCGCGTTGTTAGAGTCGAGGAATTAGAACAAAAGAATATAGAGCTTGAGACTAGGCTCGCTATATTAGAACAGGGAAAAGAAGAAAAAAGTATTTCTATTGCAGAGCAATGGCTCTTTGAGCCTACGGAAGATGTTTCGCACTCTCCAGTAAAATCTAACGATACTCTCAAACAGATAGTGCTACTGATGACATTTCTGAACAGGTGGTCTTGCAAAATAAGGATGCTCCGGCATCTGATGTATCCAATAATGTTTCAAATTCTGGTGAATATCAGTCTCGAGTCTCCGATTCATCTTTGACTATACCACCTATATGTGTAAAGTCTAAATCATCGGAAGATAAAAGGGTTGATAATTTTCTGAATGAAAAACGTGATGAACAGATTCATAACGAAATAAGAGAAAGGAATCGGGAAGAGAAGCTATTACAGAGTAATGAAGCTTCCACTTCTCAAGCCCAAAACTCATATTCGGATAGCTCGCCAAAATCTCATAATGAATTACACATCAAACAAATTTATATAGAAATCAAAGTAAAAAATCGTTACCAGCTTTCCTTTAGGAAAGATAACGAAATAGAGTTTATTTTAAAATAGATATATATGAATAAGTTATATAATAAATAGATATGCATATTATACACTGTTAACCTGTTGCATTTCTTCTCGAACAATTGATAATGTAATGCTAATTCTGAAGTGCAGAGATCATTGGGTTTATACATATACTCCAACCATTTTTGAGATATAATATTTATAGCTCGGATCTTTTTTCCAACTTCTCTTGCACATTTAATCTTTTTGATAGCATTCTGCACCCACAACTCATATCTGTGTAATACATATTCATTATCGAAATCATATCCTGAAATAGATTTTTGCTCGATTTTCAGTAAGTACTGATCATAATTTATTCCACAATATGTATTTCCCGTACAATGAGAAACGCAATGTCTTTCCATTCCTATGTGATTATAATTTCCAATATTTTTGGTTCGTTTTCCAGTATATACTAATTGATTACAAGAGAAGCAGATAGCAATACCAATTTCAGGTGCATAGCTTTTCCAAAATCCATTAACCTCAGACCAATATGTTATTAATTTTCTGTCTTCAAGGTATTTTTTGTTATTAGTAGGTAAGAGATTATTCTCTCTGAAATACTGTAAGCGAGACCAAATTCGGACCATCCATTCGGTAGGAGTCTCGTTCGATGAAACAATACCCATCTCCAGATATTCATCCCATTCAGCATCGGTACAATTGGTTCCACTTAAGCTAACCATCTATCTTATATAACCTATTTATCTGTTATAAGTACAGTATATTAGATGTTTATGTGATTTATAAGGATTTTAGACCTATTAGATTTAATAACTATATACTCTAGAATAATATGATTCAATTTTAGTGAGATTGGGTTCTTGGATCATCTCTTCGAGAGTATTATAATCGTCGTATTTTGCGAGTGATGTATACGATGAAAATGGGAGAGATTCATATTGGGTTGTAGCAATATTTATGTATAAATCGCTCTTGTACTGTGGATATATGATCTATTTTTGACATGTGAAATCCCGCCTTCTCCTGATAAATCACTCGAAGCCAGATTTATATAGTTAGCGGGTAATTGTCAGAGATGAGCTATTTTTCTTTTTCCGAACTGGAGAGGAAAAAGATCTATTTCGGGTGTAACACAAGCATATGATTTAAATTTCTGGCGATAGATGTACTATACCCATCACACATCGATCAACAAGATATCAACCGTGATGCTATATGATAAATCGGAAAGTAAACAGCATAAAATTTTTATTAATAAAGATTTTGGGATTTATTTTATTGTATTGGCCATGCCAGCTCCGCTGATAACAATGATCAAGAACTTTTCTTGGCAAAAGTGATCGGCATTCCGAAAAAGAACGCGTCATGATTTTTTTATTCACTGATATAATTAAACATATTTGTATTTTATGTGGATTTTATCAAAGAGATATCAGAACAAAAATTAAGGGGTTTCTCGACATATAAAACCTTGGAAGAGTTGAAGGATGTTCTTCGCAAATATAAGGTCAATGGTGAAAAAATCACATATATCAAACAGTTTAATCCAGGTAAATAGTATATATTTCTCCTTTATGAAAAACTTGTATAGCGAAGCTAGTGTCTAAAGACACATATTTATACATTTTTTTTTCTATAGTTTTCAAGTAAATCGATGATGATGAAAAAGCACTCGAACAGTGCATAAACGAAATAACACTAAGACTTTCTAATTTAGAGACCATGCAAGATAGTACCAATGAAGCAACCCATTGTGTTTTTGTTACATCTATCCTAAATGCATCAATAGCAATTACTCGAAACTTACCAACGATGAAAAAATATATATCGCATATCAAGATGATGTATCTGGAGAAGACGCCTCTGGACGTGTCGATTATTCGATCAAAGGATGTGAAGATCTTATATTCGGTATATAGCTGAGGAAAAACCACATAATGTTGAAATTGGGTACCTCCAAAATATAAAACAACTAGAAAGTGCAAGCCATATGAATAAAAGAAAGCGAGCCGCAGATCAGGCATTTCATAATGACGATGATGATTATCTTTACGGAATAGTCTCTAAAGGTATAAAATTTTTATCATCTACTTACTATTCTCAATAAAATTATATATATCTATTTTTAGCTTCGGAATGGCATTTCATTAAACTCTGCACGGAAGGGCTATATTGTACCAGTAAAAGCGAATATCGGATAAATTATCCAAAACGGCATTGAAAGAGGATATTGGATCGATCAGGAAGGGCGTTAAAAAAGTAACTGGGGTTGTTGTGGGGTTGTTACAGGATAGGATTACAATATGTGATGAACATGAAATTAAAAAACGACGTATACAACAAAAAAGCCAAAAATAGGTGTCTTCGGTAGGTGTCATACTTTTTACCTGCATTATAGATCCAATTTGTGAGACATTTAATCATGTATCTGGCGTCTGTGTGCCTATATATTAGAAACCTTGTAAGGTTTCATCCAATTGGGGCTGTGGGGTTACGACCCACTATTGTAACAATAAAGCAAATATACGTATTTTTTTCCGATGTATTGCTATCGATGACATGTATATACAGTATGATCGAGAATTTTCTTAGCAAATGATCAGCGGGACCAAAAGTCACGCGCTCTTGATTTTTATTTGAAATTAAAGGCATTAATTAATAAAAAATATTTTCAACGTATACAATATTCTTCTGAACATTCTTGATAAATTATATAAATTGATTTCATCTGAAAATTTGAAGATAATAGTTCTAGGCAGATAGACTTACGATGTGACAAAACTTCCACGTATAATATAGTTAACGCTTCAACTTAATGATGCTCCAAATTCCGACGTAGATCACACCTTAACCAATAACAGATAAGATAAAGTTTTTTGGTTATATTTACACTCGTGATTTAGAACACCATTAAATAGTACTTGTTTATGCTCTAAATACTGCAATGGAAGAGCTAGTCTAGTAAGTAGAACGAGTTTTATGCAAGCTCCTTGGCCAACTCACCGTCCCGACGCTATACTTCAGGAACTTCATAGAGGAGACTATAAGCTTGACAACTTAGATAATAGGTATATTAAACACTATAAAGTCAACGATAAAAATGCAAAAGGTGTTTCCTGTTTTGTAACTTTGGAGACACTTCACAATGTCCCCAATGAAAGACTCAATAAGATGGAAGTACCCTGCTACTTTCTTCCTGGCATTCCTTTCAGAAGGATTGGCTTTATTTTACACTCATAAAATGAAACTCCGGTTTCCAGAAGGCATTCAAACAGGATTACATTTCGTTATTGCACCTACGAGATGCATGACAAAAGAAGACTATGAACAAGCAGTAAAGGATCTAAGCTGGCAACTGTGTACTATCAAAGCCTCTGCAGAGATGAAGGAACTAATATCTCATGATGACGACTTGGAAGGTAGAAGACTTTCGAATGAACGAACTATACTGGCTTATGGAAATCTGGCACATGCAGACAGTAAATGCAATGGATCGCATTCATGCCAACGACATTCATACATAGATCGCATTGGACAAACCATCTTTTCAAGATCTTCTTCAACACAAGCCTCGTGCTTATATTGCATTTTCCTTCCTCGTTCGTGTGAATTCTAGTTTACCTGCATCTCATGTAACAGAACTGATATATTTGGGCGACATTTTTGGGTGAACTAAATGATGTTTTTGGGGGGACGTTTGTGCAGTAAGTGTTTATTAAGTCCGAATATTACATTTAGACACTTGTCATTTGTGAACCTATTGAAATTCAGCAGGCAAGCAAAGGAGAAGATATCACTACAAACACTTCTACAAACTTTAAAGATTGGAGTTCGGAACAAGTCGCTAGTTTCTTAAGATCCAGAAATTTTTACCAGTATTTTTCTTTCGAGATCCCATTTCCATTATCATAAGCTGTATCACATTCTTGGAAATATTCTTCTGGACAAACTAAATATAAAGAATTTGTATCTCCATATTTTATTTTGAAGCCTTTATTTTTAACAAAATCCGCTACAAGCTTAATATTCCGTTGACCACTTAGCTGAAATCTATTAAATTCTCATAACCTTATATCAACCTTGAACATATATTGTACTGATTGTGTTAAAAGCTTTCTCACAATGTTCTCACAACCTCGCTAAAATTAATTGTAACAAAGTTTTTACAAGCTTACCTTAGCAACCAGCCACAAGGTTAGTATTAGAAACTCATCGGCAGAAGTGCATCTGTTTCTTCAGAAATTTGCATTACTTCTCAAATACAGATTTCGTCTTTTCATAGCCAAATCAAAAGACTGGAATATTGGGTTGGGTATGCGACCTCCACGAACATAATTCGTCAAATCCATGTATGGCATAGCCTGTATTGAAATTCGAACGCTTCTTACATGGGGGCCCCATTTGGAGCGGTACCGCGCGCCCACTGTAATCGCCTGATTTGAGTTATGACAGTTATTGCATATCGAAGAATACAGCCACGCCTGTGGCGGAATACGCTATATTGAATTCGAACAAATCCCCCCTGAAGTATATCCACGACTTGTCTGTAATGTCGGGAACTCGAACCAAAGGAAGCAGTTAGTGCTGTTGCACCTAAATCGTACTGTATTATCCAATTTCCATAGCGCAAAAGGGCTTCATGTACTGTAGACATAAGTTAATCGTGCTATCTTTGTATATTGTTGTACAAGCGGTGTTGTTGTAGTTGTTATTAAGTATAATCGTATTATTGAGAACGTTGCTGGGATTTCATCGATAATCGTTCG